TCCCCCCCCCCCCCCCAGGACTCCTTGCATAGACACCCTGTCAGAGCCAGGGGTACCACACAGCTCCTTGTTTACCAAGCACCTTATTTCATTTTTGTGTTTATGCCCCCTCCGTGGCAAAGACACTATGTTCCCGTCTGGCAGTTAAAGACGGCTGAAAGGGTAAATCCGGTGGAGGTGCATGATGGGTCATGTGTCATCGTAAGTAACTTATTAGTGTATTAAAGTTAAAAAAAAAATACAGCACCACATTATTTCCTGATTACCTAATCCCATGTGGATACTTTGTTTGAAACATAATGAAAATAGTATAGGGCATAGACACACGTTCTGGGAGCCTATTTTTTTTTTCTGGATAAGCAACAATCCTCTCGATAGAAACAACACCACATCACCTTACTATCGGGCCTAATACGTTTTCGTAAATGATCAGTTGATAGTATTAATACTTAGACGCCAGACGTTCATGGTCTTATGGGATTTCCAGCTCCCATAAGGGAAAGAAGTCGCTTGGGATAATACGCCAATGCCGCCTATAATCCAATGGATATCGACCTAACGAACCTATCGATTGATTTGATTTTTCTGGTACAGTCCTTAAGTTCAGCGGGGTCGTTAACTTCCATGTTATCACTGTAGGCAGCGGTGGCTCCAGAACTTTTCCGACGAGAGGTCTGACATGTCCGACGGAGGGGTCCGAACCAAGGGCCGACTAGAGCCTCTGTTAGGGGTCTGATATGTCCGACGGAGGGGTCCGAACCAAGGGGCCGACTACAGCCTCTGTTAGGGGTCTGACATGTCCGACGTAGGGGTCCGAACTAAGGGGCCGACTACAGCCTCTGAAAAATACAGTGATTCGTTAATAAATTAATTGGGTATAGTAGGCCAATTCTCATAATTTTGTCTGTTCTCTATAACGATGCAATATGGGCGCATATAACATTCAGGCGGATCCAGGACTTCGAGGCCAAAGCTCGTCGGGCAGTCGGACCAAAAAAAAAAAAAATGTCGGACCAAAAAAAAAAAAAAATAGGATTGGTTTTCCCATCCCAGCCATTTCCGGCCATCTATTAATCCCAATTTCTCGTTTTGGAAGGAGGTCACATCCCACTCCCATACCCACCCTTGCCAAAATACACAGATAGTTCTTATTATGAAAAATACAGTGATTCGTTAATAAATTAATTGGGTATAGTAGGCCAATTCTCATAATTTTGTCTGTTCTCTATAACGGTGCAATATGGGCGCGTATAACATTCAGGCGGATCCAGGACTTCGAAATAGACGGGGGGCCCAGGGAGGAACTTTGAGAGACAGAGGGTCCGCCCACCTCAGCCCTACCATGGTTGTGGCTTAAAGTTGAACATGTCTTTCTTTTTTCTCTCCATTTTTTTCAAATTTGTTTTTTTAAACATTTAGACGGGGTGTGGGAGTGGGGGAGGGGAAGGTGGCTGCGCGGGCAGGCTGGGCCCCTTGAATCCGCCAATGATAGTTTCTATTAGAAAACAAAGAAATAATTTTCTTGTTTCAACATTATTCTTAACCTTGTAATGTGGTTGGCGCTGGGATGTGACAGATAATGGATGTCAGTCAAAATAGACGCCTAAGCAATTACCGAAAGCTGGTTCACGATCTTAGCTGAAATGAACAAATGATGCGTCGTGTTAATCTATAAAAAATCAGTTCCTTTTTTCCAAAAATAAACATCTGCGGCTGGGATATATGGAAAACAATGGGATGCACTTGCAATTTGAAGAAAAAAAGGAGTATTGTAACATGATGCAGGCACATGGTTGGATTAGTAAGATACTAGTACAGTATGTAGAATAACCATGGAGGTATAAAATAGATTCCTCCATGGAATAACAAACTAGGCATGCCAAAATGTTATCCCTATCGTGTTATTTTCGGGCGTTGGATAATGGACTTAGTGCTAGTGGGTCTGTCCGCGTGTGTGTTGTGTAGGTCCTGTGGGTCCTGTGTTAGTTAGTGCCTCCATGGGTTAGTGCATGTTTTTTGGTCTGTGACTGCTGCGGGTAGTTGTGTAGGGCGATAGGGAGGGGATTGGGAGCCTGGACTGTGATCTGCAACATGTTAGATAAGAGCTTGGATGCGTTAGTGGAAATGTGGAACAATTCAGGCCTATTTGCTTTTGACCTCTGGATGCCATTTAGGGCAATTCGGCCTCATTAATTAACAGACGAAATAATTATAATATGTAAACAATTAAAAATACATTGCATTATTTTAATGACTGTCATTCAAACTTTATACACCAATTCTGATTCAAAATAAAGTAAGCAATGTTTACCTGGCCATTATTTTGTTATGCTTTATGTTATGCTATTTTTTTTTGCAGAGAAAAAGGGCTGTTTGACAATGTGCAATTTTGAAAGTAGACAATGATACGTCAACCTACCGTGTCATTTGATTTGATTTTATCGATGCCTATTATATATATATATACTGTCTCTTATACACATCTTCCCATGTGGATACTTTGTTTGAAACATAATGAAAATAGTATAGGGCATAGACACACGTTCTGGGAGCCTATTTTTTTTTTCTGGATAAGCAACAATCCTCTCGATAGAAACAACACCACATCACCTTACTATCGGGCCTAATACGTTTTCGTAAATGATCAGTTGATAGTATTAATACTTAGACGCCAGACGTTCATGGTCTTATGGGATTTCCAGCTCCCATAAGGGAAAGAAGTCGCTTGGGATAATACGCCAATGCCGCCTATAATCCAATGGATATCGACCTAACGAACCTATCGATCGATTTGATTTTTCTGGTACAGTCCTTAAGTTCAGCGGGGTCGTTAACTTCCATGTTATCACTGTAGGCAGCGGTGGCTCCAGAACTTTTCCGACGAGAGGTCTGACATGTCCGACGGAGGGGTCCGAACCAAGGGGCCGACTACAGCCTCTGTTAGGGGTCTGACATGTCCGACGTAGGGGTCCGAACCAATGGGCCGACTACAGCCTCTGTTAGGGGTCTGACATGTCCGACGGAGGGGTCCGAACCAATGGGCCGACTACAGCCTCTGTTAGGGGTCTGACATGTCCGACGGAGGGGTCCGAACCAATGGGCCGACTACAGCCTCTGTTAGGGGTCTGACATGTCCGACGGAGGGGTCCGAACCAATGGGCCGACTACAGCCTCTGTTAGGGGTCTGACATGTCCGACGGAGGGGTCCGAACCAATGGGCCGACTACAGCCTCTGTTAGGGGTCTGACATGTCCGACGGAGGGGTCCGAACCAATGGGCCGACTACAGCCTCTGTTAGGGGTCTGACATGTCCGACGGAGGGGTCCGAACCAATGGGCCGACTACAGCCTCTGTTAGGGGTCTGACATGTCCGACGGAGGGGTCCGAACCAATGGGCCGACTACAGCCTCTGTTAGGGGTCTGACATGTCCGACGGAGGGGTCCGAACCAAGGGGCCGACTACAGCCTCTGTTAGGGGTCTGACATGTCCGACGTAGGGGTCCGAACCAATGGGCCGACTACAGCCTCTGTTAGGGGTCTGACATGTCCGACGGAGGGGTCCGAACCAAGGGGCCGACTACAGCCTCTGTTAGGGGTCTGACATGTCCGACGTAGGGGTCCGAACCAATGGGCCGACTACAGCCTCTGTTAGGGGTCTGACATGTCCGACGGAGGGGTCCGAACCAAGGGGCCGACTACAGCCTCTGTTAGGGGTCTGACATGTCCGACGTAGGGGTCCGAACCAATGGGCCGACTACAGCCTCTGTTAGGGGTCTGACATGTCCGACGGAGGGGTCCGAACCAAGGGGCCGACTACAGCCTCTGTTAGGGGTCTGACATGTCCGACGTAGGGGTCCGAACCAATGGGCCGACTACAGCCTCTGTTAGGGGTCTGACATGTCCGACGGAGGGGTCCGAACCAAGGGGCCGACTACAGCCTCTGTTAGGGGTCTGACATGTCCGACGTAGGGGTCCGAACCAATGGGCCGACTACAGCCTCTGTTAGGGGTCTGACATGTCCGACGGAGGGGTCCGAACCAAGGGGCCGACTACAGCCTCTGTTAGGGGTCTGACATGTCCGACGTAGGGGTCCGAACCAATGGGCCGACTACAGCCTCTGTTAGGGGTCTGACATGTCCGACGGAGGGGTCCGAACCAAGGGGCCGACTACAGCCTCTGTTAGGGGTCTGACATGTCCGACGTAGGGGTCCGAACCAATGGGCCGACTACAGCCTCTGTTAGGGGTCTGACATGTCCGACGGAGGGGTCCGAACCAAGGGGCCGACTACAGCCTCTGTTAGGGGTCTGACATGTCCGACGTAGGGGTCCGAACCAATGGGCCGACTACAGCCTCTGTTAGGGGTCTGACATGTCCGACGGAGGGGTCCGAACCAAGGGGCCGACTACAGCCTCTGTTAGGGGTCTGACATGTCCGACGTAGGGGTCCGAACCAATGGGCCGACTACAGCCTCTGTTAGGGGTCTGACATGTCCGACGGAGGGGTCCGAACCAAGGGGCCGACTACAGCCCTCAATACACACGAAGAGCAACCAAAAACACTAGGTTACAAACTCAACATTTTATTTTGCACTACAGACTGTTTCATGAGGGCACAGCCTCAATCAATATATATATATATATATATATATATATATATACTGTATGCATAGTCTTGTGTGGTAATGCTGAAAATATAAAATACTGTATATAAATAAATGTTAAAGAAGAGGAATCTGTGAGTGTGAAAAAAGGTAGGTGCCTTCGAACACGGGACTTCTTCTGTATACAAATTATTTGTTTTACAATTTTACCAGGGAAACGAAAACCAGTGACAAATCAGAATGGAATGGAAAACAGATGCACACGATGGCCACTAAAGTGACAGATAATCAGCATAATATAGACTAAACAAAGTAAGTATAGATTAATTTTAGCACTAATTGTAAAAAGACACCCTCTAGGCATACTAATCTAGCTATGACCGTTGGAGGAACCTTGAAATGTAAACAAAAGTTAGAGTTTCCGCCTCAAAAGATACGGTGGACAGCACCAGGGCTGCAAGCGTCTTGAATTCTCATTTCTCGTCAGGATTTGTGAGAGTGAACAATCAAGTTGAACTGTGTTTACTGAGTGTTGTATAAGAACACTAGGTCTACTACTAACTAGCACCCAGTCACTGCTAAGGACAAAAGGCAGTAACATCGTATATTTTAATTCGTTTATTTAAGGGGTTTCCTTTAGAGGAAGTTATCAAGCTGTTTTTGTAGCAGATAAACACCGCGCTTATTTGAAATTAATGATAATGTACTTTTGAATTATTGGATTTGCTTCTCGTTCGTTTTGAAAGAAGGAAGAAGAGAGAGAGAGAAAAGAAATAGTAAGTTACGGTAACAATTTTATGATCAATGTATTATTATGAGACTTTACATCAGTACCTGAGACTTCTCTTATCATGGAGGAAATATAATAATATATTTCCTCCATGTTCTTATTAACATTGATAAATTGTTGTCATTTAAAGTATAAAATGTTTAGAAATGTGTCAATGTTACTTGAAAATTACAATAAATCAATCTGTGCGTTGGAATGTGCGTCATGGGTTTTTGAATAAACATATTCAGAGGTTCAGTGCAAAATAAAACACAAGGAAGAGTAAAAAAGATGAATTTAGACTAATCTCTTTTGAGATATATCATTTTAAAAGATACATGAATAAAAATCTTGCCTACGAGACTGATTGGTTAGTAAACAACGTCTAAGTTCATGACAAGTTTAGATAGTCGAAAACGACAATACTCATCTCATGAGAAAGTTTCAGTTTCGAATCCGTAATATTTTTAACTAAATAACAGAGGTACAACACAGCCGAGTTTTCTTGATTATAATCACAAGAAGATAATCTAGTACCTCTTTGACCACATCTCGACACGTATTTTTGTGACTGCTCGATTATTCTTATAGGCCTACAAAATAAATGTATTGTAATATACACAAAATGCAATTTTTAGGACGTTGTGTTGACAATCCACACTTATACCGTGTTCTAAAAATCATAACACATGGCGTAATTAATTGCACTGTTCTTTTTATTTACAACCATACCTCTGCAAGCAGAACAGAAGCGGATCCAGTAGGGCACTGGGGGAACGTTCCCCCTCCCCCCGTTTTGCTACTAAATTTCAAAGCATATTAATGTATGTGCAGCTACTCACTTATCTGAAACTGTTTCATCACTAGCCACCAAGCGCAAGCCGGGTGGTCTAGTGGTTAAAACATCAGGCTAGTTACCTAGAGGTCGTGGGTTCGATTCCCACCTGAATCACTTGCGAGATTTTTTTCGCAAGTATTTGGGAATGTACTGAGCATTCAGTACACGTCAGGTAGAGCAAACATCATTTAGTATTTATGCCTATCTAAATAACTAGTCTAGTGGTTAAGACATCAGGCTAGTTATAACACGTCAGGTAGAGAAAACATCATTTAGTATTATGCCTATCTAAATAACTAGTTTAGTGGTTAAGACATCAGGCTAGTTTTAACACGTCAGGTAGGGCAAACATCATTTAGTACGGTATAATATTATGCCTATCTAAATAACTTAACAATCTACATGCAAGGCAACATCGACACCTGTATATCATGTTGAATTATTGTTGCATTGTCTTTTGCAGTTTATTTCAAACATTTCGTATTATTCTCCTGACGCAAACGCCATCGGAATTAAGAATAAAATAAGAAAAAATTGAGGCTGAGGTAAAATTTCGAAAGAGGTTTTTCATCTATAAAACTAGAAAAACCAACAAATCTTGTCTGTACCTTAAAGTGCAATAGGTGTATGTTTCAAAATTGTGTAAAAATAAAAACAAAATACGGTAACAACATTTTGAGCCTGAAAATCGGCCAAAAAATAAGTTTAGGGCAAAATTTCATGACTTGTATGTACTGTAAACGGTTTCGTATGCATACTTCATATCCAACAAGATTGGAAATTCAAATTTACTTGTTTACAAACTTTCGACCATTTCGACAAATTTGGCGTCATCGTCACAGACGTACGGACGCACATGCATGGATTGTATTAGGAAACAATAATTAACCAATCAAAGTGACAGTTGGCTGCCTTACCTTGAGAAAATGACTTCGAAGTATGGTAATACAAAACGTAGCTTATTATCTTGTAAATGTATACATTTCAACATACCAAACCCATCACCAAAAATCACAGAGGTCACAGCTCTACTACCTTGACGACATGCAGGATACTTTTTGGCAAATTGTTTTATGGAAGAATGAACAAAAATGTTAATTTTTCTAAAGTGAGATCCTATAACGAAATCGTTTAATGACTTGAGGTGGGATGACTAATTTGAGATGACCACCTTCGATGCAATGCCAATGTATTGGCCTCTCTTTGATGTTATACCGCGTTTCCGTTGAACCACCATTTGCAGTTACGTAAGGTGGTGTGGGGTCAAAATAAATTCGTAACCAAAGAGGAATGCAATACTGTAAATGCGACGAGGTTCTCATATTGGATGTAAAAACATTAAATATATATTACTTTTTTACATTTCCTTTGTCTGGCTAAAAATATCGTTTTAGTTGTTATCGGATATTCGATATTAACGCGGTTAATTAATGGTATGCCCTCGCAATTAATTTTATTTATTTATTTACATTTTGTCGACATTGGTTACGACCCAAGTCTTGCTCAATGCTACACAGTGGAAATTGTTATCATTTTGTAAAATGGTAGTCACTCATTCTCTGAAAGGAGTTTCAACCAAGTATCGAATACTTTAGCCTATTCGTGGTATACCTTTTAACCTCTTTGCATGCTCTATGCTTTTACGAAAAAAATAAACCAACATTTACTTTTTTATAAATGATACTTGGTTATCAATTCTAATTAGAAAAAGATCCGATCTCATATTTCGAAGTCCTGAATCCGATTTCATGTCAAATATTTGTTATCTATTGATTTTAAGTTAAAACGTTTGTGTAAATACAGTTTGATGTAATAAAACATTAAAATGTGTTCAGTTCAACTACAGAATCATACACGCCTCTATCCATGATTGAAACCCAAAGAGAAAACAAACTAAACTACCTACCGCCCTCTCTATGCTTACAAAGTAACTACCCAGCCTTTCATAAAGATCGGATGTACCGATAAAACGACTTACATTTGAATTTTAATCATTCTCTTATCTCACTTCCACTCACTAACAGTAATAAATCACGACCGTTTTCATTGAATGCTATTTCCATTATGATTTCATTTATTTGCCAATATTTATTACTTGAGATGTAGAATGACAAATTATTTATTACCAAGATTGTCACACAAGACAATTCCACAACGGGATCAAGTAAAAATATAGTTAAGTATAATATTTTAAACGGAAAACATAATTTATATTGTAAGTACTTCAGCTGTTATTTAGCTGAACAATGTAATATAGGCCTTAAATACCACAACAAAATATTTCAAGGCCGCGCGAAGGATGTTTTTCTTAAATGGATTTGTATACAAGTTCTACATGAAGTAGTTTTAGTATTTAATGTGTGTCCCTTTGTTGAACAAAATGTGTCCAGGAAAAGTACTTTCTATTGATGCAAATTCACTCTGCTTATTCATAGGTCAACGAACTGATGATTATTATTGTTAAAAATGCTCCATCACCGTCGTTAACCAGAGATATGGATGCATCTACTGGAAGAACAATGAAAATTATTATGTTCTTTAAAAGGGTGGAGATTAAAGGCGGTATAAAAATGTCTTAACATAATATGAACTGGTAATTTATAAGTCTTGCATCTGGGATGATTTTATTCAGTTCGCTTCGATAATTACCGACAACAATCAAACCCGGTAATAAAATAGTGGCCTGGAGTTATGTTCTGGAGTACGATAATCGAAACTACGACATAGGCACCCCTTCATAACAATACCTGTGTAGAAAATGATAGAAATCTAATAAACGTAAAACATATAATTCAATATTTAAATGCTTACTTTGCATATTAAATGCGTTATGGCTTCGAATTCAAAATTAGGTAGGCCTACCAATACTAAACACATTTTCCAAATAACAGGCACAATTTAATGCATTAGGCTAATTACAGTACTATGTAATCAAATTGCATTAAATTTATGATAGCATTACCGTAAGCTCCCCGTTTGAATAAGCACATCTCCTAACGCGAAAATTTCCTTAAGCGCCCCGTTTGAATAAGCGCCCCCTTCTAATTTGAATAAGATTTTCTTTTTAGCAAGTCAATAATCCAATCAATCCTGGGACTGTGGTTTTTTGGCATGATTTGAGCTGTAGAGTGGGTGGAAACACATTCTTCTGTCATATCAAAATGAGGATATTTCTCTTGGACAATTGAGAGCTCCGATTCCTGGACAGAGAGTATATTCCCAACTTTACTCTTTATTTTCTTATTTGTCTATGCCTTGTCCGAGTCCTGTTTTTCTTTTTTCGACCTTTAGCACATTCTCATCTGAATTTTCAAGAAAAAATACAATGATCCTGTCATCCTGGTAATCTTAATCGGCCGATGGCCAACAAGCTAACCACTACCCACCACCAGTAATTGCATATGCTGTTTTGCTGTTATGTAAATATTCACGCATGTTCTCTGGACGATTATCTTTTCTAACCACCATTCGTAATGTCCTTATATAATCTTTTTTCATTCAAAAAGTGCCTCTTGAATTTAATAATTTCCCATAAGAACCCCTCGATTTTCATCTATGTCCATAAGCGCCCCCTCAATTTCCACTCTGTTTTCATAAGCGCCCCGTTTAAATAAGCGCCCAGTTTAAATAAGCGCCCCTCAGAAAGTGCCAAAAATATTTTAGGCGCCCGGGCGCTTATTCGCGCGAGTACGGTACTTGTTTTATATCAAATTAAATACGTTTAGGATATTAAGGTGTAACATGAATGTTGAAGTCAAATCTTCATCGAATCTACTGTCATAATTTGCATGAAAATTTGTTTCCAAATCTCCTGACTACCATTCGGTTGCTGTTCTATAAAGGAAAGACACTAAGCACGCTCTCCGAAATAAGAAGACGTTCTTTGTGTGGTGCAAATGTGATTATTATAATGATAAATATACGCACTTGTCCCCTAGCGATTTGTGATAAAATGAGAGATATTCCTTTGTTTGGAAAAAAAAAATTATCTGAAGCTACAATTAGCATAATTACCGCTATTTTCACGTGACCGAATCGACGCACTGGATAGGATATTCAGATATTCATAAATTGCAATGAGCTACTAGGCATATATAGCCTACAGGAACTTTATTCAGCCTCTTTATGGAATTTCCGTAAGCTCATCTTCTCCGTATGAGGATATATAA